GCATAGTGGAAACAGCAAAACGATGTGGCATGGTCTCCTCCGCAACTTGCGCAAGGTGGGAAACGCGGTTCGAATTTGCGCGCCGGCTTGGTGCGGTCACTGCGCATGCGGCAACTGTCATCCTCGCTTTCTGAGCCCTCGGCCTCTACAGCCTCACGATGTACACATGCACTCTTTCGCGTGCCTTGTGGAGTGCTTTGGCACTGCAGGGTTTCTGTACACTTAACAGCAAATTCGGATGCCCTGGCTTTGTCCAAGGCAATTTGTAGAGTGAGATTAGATTTGTCAAGTAATCTCCTCTGTAAATTAATGTCCCGCACACTGCATATGATGCGGTCAAGTATGAGTTCGTGTATGTCTCTGAACTCGCAGTACGCTGTAGCCTTTCTTAGCACCGCAACATACTCGTTAATCAATTCATCTTCCTTTTGATTGCGAATATTAAATTCGTCCCAGCGGATGTGCTTAGACGGCTTGGGAGCGTAGTGTGTCCTCAGCGTCTTTTGGAGCACTGACCAAGCAACCGATTGGAGTGGGGTTGGCTCAGATAGATCTTTGGCTGTTTCGAACACTTCCCATCCACAATAACCCAGGAACATGTTCTTCTTGCGGCCTTCAGAAAGGCCCATGAGGTTGTTGGCTTCGAGGAAACAGTCGAACCTCAGCATATACGATACCCAGTGCTCGGTGACTAGATTGTACGGAGTTGGTGGGGCGTGCATGGCCATTTTGTGTTCTGAGGGTTTTTTGAGTTTGCCGCTCAAAAATGGCTGCTTGAAGCCAGGCTGAGCTCCGGGCTGGATTTACTTGCTGGATTGCTATGCTCTTTTTGGTTCGCCTAGTTGCCTTCCAATCCCATCCTCATCGTCAGAGTTAGATTGGGTAAAGGAAGGCACACTCAGGCTTAGGCAACTATGTACAAGGTTCAGTCTGACAGCAGCCCTTTTATAGAGAGCTGTCAGACCCATCGACCAATGAGATTGAATCTCTATTCCCGCCGGAACAGAGGACCTTGGTGGAAACCATTATAACAGTTGCTAATATCTTGCTAATATCTAACACTTTACATTATAATTAATGTATATATTATAATGCAGTATCATGCAAATTGCTCTTGTGTAACAGCAAGATTTGTTTCTCGTGATATCTGTGTTCCCTATGCTATCAATTAAAATTACAGTTCCCTTTCAGTTCTACAAAGAATATCCATCATGTTTACAACAGTAAAGGATAATATAGAGGTCCATCTCTATAATTCCTTACTCTTGCATAATCCAAATATTTGTTCCCCTGCAAAGCTTCCTTATGTCCAAACTTGTCTGATGTGCAGGTTATTCTTTCAGTAAAAGTACTTGGAAGAATTCCCTCCTTAAATAGCAATGTTCTGCCAATTCTTTCCCAATCTGATTACTAACATAAATAACAACTCCAGATACGTTTGATTATAGTATCCCTCATCCCCAATCACCTCCAATATACATTTCAGGACATATAAGAATTGTAGTCTACCACATCTGGATACCAGTGTGGGGAAGGCAGGGGCATCATGATTTCAATAGTATAGTATAGTATAGTATGAAAATTATATTAGGTGCTAGTTACGTTCTACCAAGTATATCGATTTTAAGATTATCTTATATATGTTATTTACATTGCTAAGCCTCTTCCTCCTTTTCTGCAGATGTGCACTGGCAATTATATATTTGTTCCATATATGATAACTCCCCATAACAAAGTCTATTGCTGTGACAGCAGTTTCATGAAGGGATTGACTGAATTGATGCAACCCAACTTTGAACTGTTGCTGGGACCAATATGCTTACCCTTAGTTGACCGCTTTATTCAGCTCTTGAAGATGGCACAAGGCAGCTCAAGGTATGGAGTGTCTTCAGCTGTAACATTAAAACTTGCCATAAAAAAAAAACCACATGTCCCAATAATTGTAACAGACATAGCATTTGATAGTAGCAGCCAAGGGACAATACATAACAGGAATACCAGAATAATAGAGTTGGAAGGGACTTTGGAGGTCTTCTTGTCCAACCCCCTCCTCAGACAGGAAACCCTGTCTGAGACAGGGTCTGAGACCCATTTCAGACAAATGAATATCCAATCTCTTCTTAAAACTTCCAGTGTTGGAGCATCCACAACTTCTGAAGGCAACTTCTGATTAATGGTTCTAATGATCAGGAAAATCTCATATTCATGTCTATCAAGAGTACTTTCATATTAGGATAGATACTGTATTTTTCGGAGTGTAAGACGCTCTGAAGTATAAGATGCACCTAGATTTTGGGGAGGAAAACAAGGGGCAAATATCTGCTTCTGCCTCTCAGCAATTTCCTCCTTGCAACAAACAGTACAGACAATATACACTATTTGTATTGCTATATTTCAGAATATACTTGTACAGATGCTGTTAAAATTCACCTGCTTTCTGGAAGTATAGTTATTCTCTGCTATTTA